CCGAAGGATCCAGAATGGGGGCGGGAGGGCGGGGGGCAATGTTAATGCCTAAAATTCTCGACCCACGGGGGGACATCCAGGGCTGAATTACCAGCCGAATATCGTACGATTCAATCATGCCCTAGTAGGAACTGCCCTTCGGCCTAAATAAAGGAAAAATATATTGAAATATTAAGGTCGAGGCCGCATCGCTAGCATGCCACAGGTTTGAAGCCACGACCACGATATTAGGGTTCGAGGTCAAGTGAACAATAGACAATAGATAATGGCCAAGACCTGTCCACCATCTCGAGATGCGCAAAGAAGGTTTCCCATTGAGGAAAACCCGCAACGGGGTTCTTGGGAAAGCGAAAACTTTCCATCCCATGATCGAAAAAAGGGAAATACTTTAAATCCAGACCATAATGCCGCGGGACCTACACCAAAATCATAATTACATGGTAGACCGCAGGCTAGACGCTCGGTCATAGCCACATACAAAGGAAACCGAGGATAAGGACCGAGCGCCTGAAAGATGCGCCCACTAACTTGGGAAATGTGCTAATAGACAGCCACTTAAGCCACTAGGAATAAACAAAGGAGTTGCCACCAAGAAATGAGAGACAGATGACACTCCTCAGATCATGCCTTCACAAGCTTCATCCTCTTCCTATAAATACATGACTCTCAGCAACATTCAAAAGGTCCCCAACCAAATAAGCCTCTCACGGAGCAAATTATCTTTACCAGTCATTTATCTTCCTGTAATGCACTTTCAATATCTTTAAATGCTTTCCTAGGAGTAGTGGTAAAGTTAAGTCCTTCCATCCATCAAATATATCATACGACCATTGATTTTCAAGGCGCCGAAGCACCATCTTATTACTTTTCCGTCCGCCCCATATATCATAAAGCCTTCGCAATCCAGCGAGGCGCTGGAGCACCATTCAAATCCACCGACCGTCTTCCATCATTTACCCCAATCAACAGCCTTGTAGCCTAGGCTGTGAACCTGACGGTCGAGAACTATTCCTCTCTCGGCCACAATCGCTTTGAGCAAAATCAGATCCATTCACATCATCTTCGAGTGCATGGTAAACCGTGCTGGCACACCCATGCACACTCATCCAACACAAAGTAGGACAACCTGTGTTGACACATAATCCCCTCGCCCCGGAGCACCAAGTTGTGAGATTTTACGCAACCAACAAACTTGACCGTTGGTTTGGAGATTTTCCAGTCGCCGGAAATCTCTCATGCCACACATCGTCTGCAGCGGCACGTCAGCCAAATGTCAATGACTTGTTTTCAGCCTAGAATTAACCCCTCGTCATCCCGAGCACGACGGTATGCTCGGATTAGCTAAATTCGACCTGTTGAGTATTATACCAAAACTTACCTATTAGGCGTTTTCGGGTTCAATACATTTGGACCATCAAATCTTAATGAATCTCTTGGGACTTGTTAAAGGGGTTTTGTTGAACCTGTAGAACTTTCTAAGGTCGTACACATACACATTAAATTTCAGGAATTTGGTTTTTGATTAAGGGTTTGAGGCGGAGCTTTTTATTAACCAAAGCTTGTATTCTCTCAGTAGGTGTTCAGACTCCACGTGCTCAATCAGAGGGACCTTCGAAGGGTCAAGCAAGTTTGGACCCACATTGAGTGGACATTTGTTTTAGAAATGATTTTTTCTACTATGATTGTTTTATGAAAAATTTTATGAATAAATTACTTATACGGTCGTAACTTTCCGGATTTAAGAAAGGATTTGGGAAATGTTTTCAAAACCACCTTAGATATCCTTTTGTTGCTTTAGGATATTATGACGTCCTCGGACGATTTGGTTACCTTTGGATAAGTCTGCGCGCATATAACAATGCGTCTCAGGCTGACTATGTGTCCCCTGAGTTCTGCTAGGAATGCATCTCGGGTCGACCTCGTGTCCCCTGAGTTCTGCGAGGATGTATCACACATGTGGCCACATGTGTGGTACTTAGAATTCACGGTATACTGTTGGAATTAACGAATTTTATTTGGGATACATCTAGGTGGAAAGTATTTACAGTTTGAGGAATTTTGTGTTGAAATTGATGATTTATCTTTTCGCATGAGATATTATATGCAAATGTATGAATCTTGTTTTCCTGTATGAACATATAACAGAATTGTAACTGGTTTTCAAATGGTTTTTAAATGTGGGTTCTTACTATGTTTTTAACATTTATTTTTGTCCACTCACACTTTTATTGTTTTGCGCCCCCAGTCAGTAGACGAGTACCAGACAACCACTTGACGGCATTTCATCTTGCGCTACTTTTCCTTCTTCTCCCTCGTGTAGGCGTTTCCTTGGTTGTGAACGTAATTTTCTTGTTGTAAACTTAACTTGAATAGTTATGCTCTGATATAGCCCTGAATCTCTGTAAGGCTTGGGGTCAACCGGATTAACTGTTCTGTGTGTGAACTTAACTTGTGCATGCTGAATGTTTGAGGATTTTAAATTGTGACTTTGTTTACAAGTGAAAATTTGTTGGAAATGTACCTTTTTCGGGGGAGACTTTGCTGGTTTTCCGGTAGAAGTCAAACCCTAAAGTAGTTTTGGGATTAGGGCAAAAAGGGTATTTTAGTCATTTGTGCCCGACACCGGCCAAGTGTTGGACACGAACGAGGTTCGACATGGATTCCAAAGTGGAATTTGTCGGGTCTTGTCAGTTAAACTTGAGTTATTTGAGAAACCGTTATGGAGATGATGAATTGAAGACATCAATTAAGCTTAGTTAATTGGTTAAGGCAAAATTAATTATGGAATTAATTTAAACGACACGTGATGTCGGAATAGGCTTTAAATGGGAATTTTGAATTCTAGGCTCATTGGGCTTTATCCTATTGGACATGGAGATTGGGTTGTATGACAACTTAAATGAAATTGAGCCCAAGAGGCCCAATTTCAAGGGATGGGCGTTCATATGGGCTTTTGGTTGCTAGAGTCAACTTGTTGACTCAAGTAAAAGATGACTATCATCTTTTTGAAGCCTAGGGGGTCATTAGTGAAAATCAAGAGAGAGAAAGAAAGCTCTAGTCTTCCAAAAACTCTCTCTACACTTTCATACTATCTTAGTGAGGGATTACTAGCATCACCCTCTCACTAAGCTCATCATCTTTTTCTCTCTAGTTGGTGAAGAGACTTAGAGGTTACCTATTTTGGTGACTTTTGGAGAACCCCTCAAGTTGGAGTTTTTTAAGGAGTCATTCAAGCTTCAATAACAAGGTGGAGATTTTGAAGGAGCCATTCAAGCTTCAACAACTTTGGTGGAATTCGATCATAGGGTTGAAAGCACGCACCAAAGGTAACTCCTCCTTCCAATCTTCTTAGAAGTATGTTCTAGGAAAGTAGTACAACTATCACTTGGCTTAAAAGATTCATGGGAAAAGTTTTTGTTTTTGAACTCATAGATGCATGCTTAAGCTTCTGTTGCCATGATTTTATTTATCTCTGTTGATGTTCAAATGAAACTCATGATTTTCTAAAGTTTTCCTTCAAGCCATTTGCCAAAGAAGTTGTGTGTTGTCAACGTGTAAGGGATTATCCTTTCTTCGTCTTCAGTTTGTGGCAGTCTGAGCCATTCGTAATCTTCTAAGATACTCTGGTGATCCCATAAATACGTAGGAAATTTGCCCATAATTTTCGGATTTTTCCTGCATTTGTAAGGATATTTGCAACAACAAAAAATTGAATAAAGTAATATGGAAATCCCTTTTCACTAACATAATGATTTAAATATCGAATTTAAGGGGAGAAATAAGAGTGTAGGGTTTTTCCCCATGTTGATTATATCCCAGTAGGAATTTAGCGACACGCGACACATTCTCATGCCGCCACACGCCACTTGACCCAATTTTTTATTCCTTTTCACTTAAATATTCATTTAAAAATCGAATTTAAGGGGGGAAAATTCGAGAAAAATTCCTCCCGGATCGTGACGAGATTTCCTTCTTTGAAATATCCAAAAAAAGGTTGCGGCATACAAATTTGGATACGGGATTAATGTGATCGAACAAATAAGAGTGTAGAGTTTACATAGTGTACTAGTGTTTTCATTTGCATCATCAACGTCTAGGGTTGACTCCCTGATTTTATTTTTCAGTCACTCCTAAACCTGGTATTGTACTTTCCTTACGAAGTATTCTTCCCCATAGATACATAGGAATTTTCCCCATATTTTTCAGATTTTTCCTGCAATTTTGATGAATTTTGCAGAAAAGAAAGAATAAAGTATTTAGGAAATGCCAAGTGTCGACGCTGGAGTGGGGAGCTGCAAACTTTAGCGACACGCGACGCATTCCCATGCCTCCACACGCCACCTGACTGATCGGTTCATAATTGTATATTATTTCTTACCCTTCTAGCTTATGATTTGGTTATGTTTTTGAGTTAAACTTGTGCTTTTAATCCTTTTTGTGTTTATCTTTCAGTTAATTGAGCTTTAGGTAACAATGATGGCTTTGGAGAACATAATTCATGCAATTCAAGCATGTTAAGGCCTAATTTGCTTTTTTTATATTCTTTTTCACTTAAATATTCATTTAAAAATCAAATTTAAGGGGGAAAAATTCGAGAAAATTTCATCTCGGATCGTGATAAGATTTCCTTCGATTACATATCTAGAAAAAGGCTGCGGAATACAAATTTGGATACGGGATTAATGTGATCGAACAAATAAGAGTGTAGGGTTTACAAAGTGTACTAGTGTTTTCGTTTGCATCATCCACGTCTAGGGTGGGCTCCCTAATTTTATTTTTCAGCCACTCCAAAACCTGGTGTAATAACCTAGAAAAAATAAAATAATTAGATTTTAACTCTCTCTCCCTCCTCAGATCGCGCACGACCACCCCCCCCCCCCCCC